ATTGTCACGAGCACGGACGGCAGCAGCAATCTCCTTGAAGTCAGAACCGATGCCGTGAAGGGTGTGTATGACAAGATCCATATCACTAACAGGATCGCCGATGAGAGCCAGCTCGCGAGCAAACCCCTTGATAGTAGAGAGATAATCAGGAACAGATTGGGTTCCACGAGTGTGAGCAGCAATCTTATCACGCAAGTGCATTGCGCGTGAACGAGAGGGATTGGCAAACATACGTTCCAGAGTAGACCAGGCTTCACGAGCGGAAAGAGCTGCGTCAATGTGCGGCATGAGTATCTCTCCAACTGAGGCTAGAATGGCGTGAAATATGAGGCGGTCTTGACGAGCCCAGCGGCGATAGGTTTCGGATTCCTTGTCCGCGGGAGGAGTCCCGGTGCCATCAATATGAGACATTAAGTCATAGCCAAAGAGCAATGACGTGAACTGTGATTTCCAGGAAGAATAATTGGAGCCAGTGAGACGAACAGTGAGTTGGGAGCCCACATTGAACGAAACAAGAGGAGAAAGGGAAGAGCCGCCAGGTGGGGGGGGATTGGTTTCAGAAGAGAAGCTGGAAACCATGTTTGCTATGAGTTGAATGACAAGGGAACTGGGACCGAGAGAGAGAGAGCTGGGAGCAGTAGAGAAAGAGAGACCTTGTTAGAGGGATTTTAGGTGCTCTGATACCATATAGAGTAGAGAGAAGTTGAGAGAGAAAAGGACTTGATTCTATTATTAGTGTTGGGAAAGATTTATATACACGAGAACGTCCAACAGTAATAAACAACTAATGAGATAATACAGGAACGTGGACGTTCAGGAGCTACTGACTTTGACGAGGTAAACTCGTTTGGTCGTTACACTTAATACAATAAACGCGCGGAATTGAAACTCCCACAATGCAAAGTTCTTCGAGTTCAGCTTCGCGTTGATACCCTCACCCTCCATGTTGGGCTCTGATACCATGTTGATCGAAACAGATGTTAATCGAAACGGAACAGATAATCGAAGCGAGACAAGATTTACGTGGTTTCCTTGTTTGTTATGAACAAGACTAGTCCACGGGAAAGAGTTCTCCTTTTCTTATTGTTACGCACAACTCACTGATCACCCATATATACAATTAAACTACTCAATAATAAACCCTAGCTAGCTACGAGATACCATTTGGGCCATCTAACACCATTACATGGACACGACCCAAATCCATGCAACTCATGCACGTTCCATTCTCTCAACAACCCTGATGTCCTGATGCTGCTACTTCCACTCGCTCTCCCTGTCCGCGACTCGAACTCACTCGCCCTGTCTTGCATGATGGAGGAAGACCCAACAAAATAAAACTCTGAATCTGCAATCCGAAAGCTCTTCCTCGGGTTCTCCCTCAACCCGTAAACCCCATCGCCAACTCCGCTGAAGCCTCCAGCTGCCACCCCCGTTGCTGCAGATGGTCTGCTTTTCACAATTTGTTGATGCTCCACTTCCAGCTCTACTGCCTCCAACTCATCTTCTTCTTCGGGATAGGAAAACGGGGAAGACGATTAAGTTACCGGGAAGTATTTGGCTCGACGCCGGCGAGTAGGAGAAAGAAGATGGAGAGCGAGGGGGAGTACGAGTGAGGGCGGCAACAAAATTGCTAGGGATTTAGATTTTTGTAGTGGCGGTGGATGTCGAAGAAGAGAAGGTATGGAAGTGAGTGGTGGGGAGAAAGGAAGAAGCTAGTTTTTTAATCTTAATTTTAATTTTAATTAATTGTTGACGTGACATCTACGTGCAAAATTCTGCTGATTTGTAGCTTACGAGGGCGATGAGTTAGATCCTAGTCTGTGTTCTATCATAGAATTTGACGGCATCCAAACGATGTTAAACTTTCTGACGAATTTGGCTAGATTTTTCACACTACCTTCTAATTTTTGGACGATTTTGTGTTTTCAATAGTTATGGCTATATTTGTCACAAATGTGAAAGTTATATACAGCTGTATTTTGAAGAATAAATATTCTAAAATTTTCGATGTTTGTTAAATGTGATTGTTAACATTCAATGAGAAAATAAATTCTAATAATATATTAAATGACATGTTTACCCTTAACCAAAACAACTCGGGTGGCTCAAGAAATATTGATAACTACCAGGATGAATAAGAGAGTAGCGATAAAGGAAGAGAAAAAATATCACAAATCATTAGAATCTCTTTAATTATGAGAGATTTGATATCTCTAAATTTTAGAGATTAAAAATCTTGGCATATAAAATCATGATACAAAAAAGAGCAAACAAACATAACTTTATATTAATTTATAGATTCTCTAAATCCAGTTACGTAGCCAGAAATTCATCTAAGGAGGTCAAATAAGGAGGGGAAGATTACATAAATTTTAGGATGTGTTTATTTTCAGAAAATTTTCTAAAATACATTCGTCATACAAATTTCGAGGGATGTTAAAATACCACAATGAAAAATCATTCATGATTCCACAACTAATCTAATTTTGAAATGTTTCTTTACTTTGCTTATTGCAATAAGTGCTCTTTCAACACTTGCATTGGCAACCGATAGCAACACACACTCCTACATTTCGAGTCTTTGCTTATACTAAATTCACTTACAGAATATATGAATGAAAATTAAACAGAGATCGCAAAACATTATTTTTCGTAATATTATCTACATTAGTATGGACATCTTGCATTCAATCTAACCTCACATAAACAAATTTGCTCTACATGTTTTGTGCCAATGTGGTGCAAATGGCCCACTTTGGCACCAAGTGGCTTCGTCACTGGCTAAATCCATGACCCAAATCAGTTTCTCCAAATGATCCTTAGTATATAGAACCATGCATGAGTTATATCGAATAAATCACTGAAATGATATTTTAGTTATATAATTGTGATTTGTAACACTATTGTACATGTTAATGAAATAATGTATTCGACTAGTAATATTTCGAGCGTATATTATAAAAATTAATTAGTATTGCTGGAAATTGTCAAAGTAACGGTGTAATCGCCGTATGAGATGATAGTGTAAAAAGTCGATACTGATATTGGTAAAAAACAAATATATGGTCCAATACGGTTTAATTAACAATAATTTATTTGTGTTATGTTAAATAACTCATTTTGTAAACAAAATGGAATGAGTTCGAGGTTTGGTTTGTGTTATGTTAAATTATTAATATGAAAATAAAAATAAAATCAGTTAAATTCTTGAAAACCCAAAATCAAAATCTTTAAAGGTGTTATGGACTATTGGTTAACTGAAATCCAGTAAGTAATTAGTAATTTTGGCTGGATTTGGTTTGGGTTGGATAAATCAAATCCAAAAATCAAATTCATAGTTTGAGTAGTCCAAAAATGGAGACAGAAAATATCACAAGAAAGAAGCATGAAGTCCGAAAAGAAATCTATTCCACATAAGTTGTTGACATGCATGTGTATGTATTGTTGAACGATGTCGACTTAGTTGGACATGTTATCAGTTTCTTATTAATTTTCAATTTTAATTCAAATAAAACCATTAATATGTTAAACCGAAAACCAAACCCATCAAACTTCTTATTAAATTTGTTTCGATTTCGAAAAATCAAAACCAAACCGACAACCCTATGTACAATATTGGTAAAATTCTTTTGACTTAAATTAATAGTGGTAGTAAAGCATTTCCCGCCATCTACTTGCGCGTAGTTTATATATGTGCATATGTATCCAAAAGAAGGAGAAGGCAACGCACAATTTTGGAATAAGGTGCCGTTTCTCTTCTGAAAGCTGAGCCAGGGAATAAAACAAACCCTATACATAGAATAGATAGAGCAGTAGTTTATAATTATGAACGTAGAGAGGGTTCGGTCACATGCAGGAAAATGCCAATAATAAGTTCACGAGAAGCCATACAAAGGAATTGAAAACGAATAATAGATCAGAGGAAGGGACGCCCGTGAACGAGAAGAAAGTGCACTTCACTTGGTAGCTGTATGAATAATATACAAGAGCAAACAAACAGGAAGCAGCCACAGCCAGCATCCCCAGCAGCGGCCTAGCTATAGCTGCCCCACCAAGAAGAACCTTTTAGCCAAACAAATATATACACGATAGTATACACAATTTTATTCGAATTAATACGATTTTTTTTTCGGCCCACTCACTTTTTTTTTCATATATAATCATTATTTTAGACGGGTGATTTAGGGTAAAACGGTCCGAACTATTTTAATGAAATAATAAACAAGAAATTAAGTTGATCAAATTCGCCCAATTCTCTAATTTTGAGACAATTGGACCAAATTGACCCGTTTGTCAGAATAAAATTGGATGGATCAATTTAGCTTGAAATTTTTTGAATTGATATATTTAGAGTCGATTACAATTGTCTGAGCAACGACAGACAATTCGAATTGACTCGTTTTATAAAATGTGATAATTTGACAAAATTATATGGCTTCTGAAATGTTCCATCCAAACTATCCGCTAGATTTGATGACCAGAAGACAAGTTCGTAATGTAAAAATGATATGGAATTATGTCACTCATATCTTACCATGAATCTGGAATCTTGGTCTGAAATCATACCTCAATAGCATAGATTTATACATCTGGGTGACCGACAGATTTGGTACCTCCGATTTCCCCTACAAATATTGCTTTTTTACATGATCGATTCATGGAATGAAGTTCTTCTCATCGTAAAAAAAATGAGGGTTCTTTTCGGAACAAAAATGCAAACCAAAAGGAATATCAGAAACACTCCTGGAATCAAACCACCGGGTTTATTTCTGTATCAAAAGCTAATTGACCTGTTTTTTTCTTTTACACAGTTACGACTACATAATCAAGTACACCAAACACAAAATATTACACAACACGAAGAATTGAGGACATATATAATATAAGCAAAAGAAGAAAAAAAAGACCCAATAAAGGAAGTTCAACAGTAATAATTTGTGAGTGGGGATTGGATATTATATATAATAATTATTACAATTAAGCACTAATATAATCAGTTATTTCTTCGCCCTGGAAATCCTCCTGGCCAGCGCCATCCAACAAAGCAACCGGTAAACGACAAAAAACCCCATCAGGGCATACACATTCCGCCACCTCAGCCCCTCGTGGAGCCCACGCTGGCTCAACACGTCAGCACCGGTCACCATGCAAACACCGCCACCGCCGCCGCCACTTTGACCATCCTCTCCTCCGGCCCCGTACCAATAAAAGCACTTGTCCACAAGGCAGGAGTACTCGTTCACCAGCATCGCGTCGAGGGCATATTTGTACATGGACACGAAGTGCATGAACAGCCAGTACCTCGGCATGCTCGCCGACGACACGAAGTAGCCGGAGAACAAGAAGAACCCGGCGAGTATGACGGTGACCAGGGTGGTCCCGGCGATGTAGTTGGGCGCCACGGAGGACAGGAACATGACGAAGGAGTTGGCCATGAGGAGGACCACCCACACGACGAGGGCGAAGTAGCCGAACGCCCGCCACGTGGCGCAGAGGCCGACGAGGAAGTAGAGCGAGGCGGAGTAGAGGGCAGCGACGGCGAGGGTGTAAGGGAGGAAGACCAGTGTGTTGGCGAGGAGGTAGGAGGAGATCCTGTACGCGCCGCCGGAAGCTTCTCGAAGGATGATGGGGCGCTCGTTGATGAAGATCGGGAGCGTTTCGGTGGTGGCGGAGAGGAGGAACGTCAGGGTGAACGCGAAGAGGCCGAAACGTTTCTCGATCCCCTGCTTGTTGAGCCCGACGTCGACGTAGATCGTACCGAGGACCAGGCCGACGACGACGGCCTGGATGGCGTTGGTGAGGAGGAGCTGTTTTGTTCGGAGGATGACCTTCCACAGGCGGGAGTGGAGGACGGCGATCTCGTGGGCCCGCGAGCATCTGTGCCTTTCCGAAACCATAAACAAAAAAGAAAAAGAAAAAAAAAACACGGCTGATGAAGGCAGTCGAAACGTTTCAAACCGGTAACTAGACATAAAAGACAATACTTAATAAATTCTTTTTTTTCATAAGCCCAAAATACCATTGATTGTGAATCTCACAATAGCTTGGGGAAGTGAACATATCCGCCCCCATTGCATAATATATACTTCACTTGATAGTGGGAAACTCTGTTGGTATTGGTATGAAACTGATATATCCATAAATAATCGTCATCGAATTTGTAATTTTCAAATAATAAAGTATCTAATCAACCGTTATTTGTCTACAGATATCTATGCCGATTTGTTGTTATAGAATTTCTCTATCGATCGATGATTATTTTTTTCTAAAACCAAGCTATTTTTTTCATAAGCTAAATATGGTGGAAAAATGTTGAGAAAAATCATTCAAAATCGATAACATTGTTTGTGGACTTAACGTCTCAATTAAACTCACCTACGGTTAATTCTTTCCCGTGGTAAAATTTTATTTTAGCGGTTAATTTCTTGAAATAGAGTGAATTTCCTTATTCATGAAGATTTAACTTTACCATTAGCTTTTGCAACTACAAATGTATCTCCCGCACGTTTTCACAAAAATAGAAAAAAGGGTTGCTCAATTGTTACCTTTTGACGACATTTTTGTGATCCGATGGTGGGGTATGATCCGGTGAGGGCAGGACCATTTCCGTCGCTGTCGTCGTCGTCTTCGTCGGATCAGAAACGAGGTGATGAATGATCTCCATGGCATATTCAAGCGGGTTGAGCTGTTCGGGCACCGGAAACCCGCTGGACACCAAGTAACCCTCCAAAGAAGGAACCGTCCCACAATGAACCACCCTTCCTTTGTTCAGCAGCACCACGCGATCAATCATGGAGAGGATCTTGAACCCCGGCTGGTGTATCGACAGGATCACGGTCCTGAGCCGCGAGCTCGCGATCCCCCTCAGCGTCTGGACGACGCTGAGAGCGGATCTCGAGTCGAGGCTCGAGGTCGGCTCGTCGAGGATCAGCACTCCTGGGTCGTGCAGGAGTGCAAGTCCGATTGAGACTCTCCGACGCTCCCCGCCGGAGAGTCCCCTCGCGGCCAGCCTGGTCCCCGCCACGTGGGTGAGGGAGAGCTCCTCGAGGAGGGAGGAGACGGTGCCGGCGATGGAGGAAGGGGAGGTGGTGGAGGAGAGGAGGCGGGCGGAGAAGGCGAAGGTTTCGGCGACGGTGAGGAGTGGGAGGAAGGCGTCATGTTGAGGAAGGTAGGCGGAGAGCTTGCGGAAAGTGGAGGAGTTGGTGATTGGGGTGGAGTTGAGGAGGAGGGAGCCGGCGGTGGGGGATGTCCGGGCGGCGAGGATGTCGAGGAGGGTGGACTTTCCGGCGCCCGACGGGCCGACTACGGCGAGAATCTCGGCCGGGTTGGCGGTGAAGGTGACTTGGTTGAGTATGGTGGTGGTTATGGTGGAAGAAGGGTTGAGGAAGGAGAGGAATGACGTGGCAGCGGCGGCGGCGGAGGTTTGTTTGGAGTAGGAGATTGAGGAGGCGGTGAGAGTGTAAGTGGGAAGTGGTGGGGGGAAGGTTTCTTCTTCCATGGTGGTGTGTGGAGAGGGAAGATAAAAAGGAAAGGGGGAGAGTGAGAGGGGGGAAGGAGTTAGGTTTTGGTGTGGTATTATCAATTATGAGGGAGGAGATCATTGTTTTTTCCTAGTGTGTTTAAAGAAAAGGATAATGCATGGGAGTGAGAAAGGAAATGGGGAAAGCAAATAAGGGCAAACTCATAATTGTCAATTGATATTAAACTATATGTGGGAATTACTTGTGGGGGGAAGGGAAATACATATGAATGGTAGAAACTTGCAAGATTTTTATTCCATTGCCTATCACTTGGGTGCAAATTTGGGGAAGTTGCCTTATCTATATGCAAATACTTTATGATTCCAAAATGGTATAAGAGTATTTCTACTAGTATTTCAAGTTAAAAATTGAATTTGTATTTTTCATGTTAGAAAAATTCTTACTTTTATGTTACAATACGAGTTTACGAGTTTATTTGGCATCATAATATAAAGATACAAATTTGGTTTGTAACTCAAAGAGATTTGTATAAAGATATAAAAGTACAAACCAAATTTTTACTATAATGTTACATGTACAAGCTCAATTTGTACCATAAAATATTTATTTTAAATTACTATATATATCATTGCATAATTCCTCAAATTTGTTGCCTAAGACATTTTTTTTAAATAAAATTATATTCCATTCATATTTTAAAATGATTTAATAGATTAAATAATATTTCTATTAAAGGGAATAAAAATGATATATTTAAATGCATGGTACAGGTACTTAGCAAAAAGGACAGAGTTTGACACGTAATTAGCCAGATGGATAGCTTAAAGCGACACGTTGGGCAGGGAAGAAGAGGCATATATATCTATATGGGGGATAGGCCCACTGGATCTAAAAAGCCCACCACAAGTCCACAAGGCAACGAGGGAAAAGTCAAAAGACACCTCAACAGCCAAAAACTCAAATCAAAACCCAAGTTCGAGAGTTGGGAATTGTACTGCTGAGCCAAGCTGGCACTCATGCGAACCACCAGTCCACCACCATCAGAATGGGGTAGTTAATGACGTAATATGTATAGCATTTTGCCAATTAAATTGTTTTAAAATGTGTTCGTTTTCGATGAGGTAAAAAAACATAATAATTAGGAGCTTTTATCTTGTCATCTTGGGTACTTAGCCTTTTGTTCATTATACATTCCAATTTTTTACATATCAAACCGCTGAGGGTAATGATTTTGAAGTTTCGTCCCGATAATATGTATTAGCACCGTATCTCAAACATTGATAGTCCGTAATTTGGTACACATGCACGATCGGTGATACCCAAACCAAAATCATGAAACAAAAAATAAACGGAGAAAATAACATTAACCAGAAAATTAAGAAAGTATAGCAAGTAGGCAGGCAACTATAGGTGTCAAAACAGAACCCTGTCCGATTAACTCGCCCGATTAACCCGACCTGCAACCCAAATTAACTAAAAGTCAACAACCCGTAACCCGACTGACCCGCACCCCGATTGACCCAAACCTGATTGACCCTAACCAGATTAAACCCGAACCCTATTGATCCGAACCCGAATAACCCGTAACCCGACCAACTCAACCCAAACTTCATCTAATCCACTAGAATAATTATTATATTATACAATATATAGTTTTTCAAGATAAAGTTTTACATTCTAAACTTAGGTAAGATTATTTTTTCATTTCGTATAGGGAATTTAAAAAATATGAAACTCACGTGATATTATGTATTTTAAGAAAATTACAAAAATTGAAACATGAACGTCACTTGAACACTAAGGGGTCGTTTGGAAGTTGCGATTGTTAAATAGATGTATTGTTGAGAATGCATGTTTAATATTATACATGTATTGTCGAATTTGATGCATTGTAGAATACAACGTTTGGTATGTGTGATCGTGTATGTCGCATTAGCTAAAAGCTGAGACAAAACAATCTCAACTCAACTATCTCAACAATCACAACTAAAAGTTGAGATATAAAAATCACTCAAAATGAGTGATAGTTTCTGTCACATCACAGAAACAATCCATGTATTGTTTCTGCTAAAAAAAAAAACAAAAAAAAAACGATGCATTGTAAACAATACATGCATAATGACAATCTCAACAAAAGTGGGGATGCAAATTTGGAGAGTGAGAGTTGGGGTGGATAGGTAGCTCGAGAAATAGAAGAAAATGAAAAAATGCATCATGCAAGTGGTGCTTTTGATTGGCTGGTTTTGACTTGAGAAGGTAAAAAGGTCTACAGCGGGTCCCTCCACTTTTTTTGCTGCTTTAGTCTTTTTTTCATTTCCTTTCTTAATTTTTGATTGACTGGTTTTGACTTGGGAATGTAAATTTAGAAGGTATAGGGTTTGAGCAAATATTGTATTTTGAGAGACAAAGATGGATGTTTGAGAATTGGGAAGCAAAATTTAGCTTTTGGGTTGAAGTTAGTCTAAAATAATAGGGAAATTTTGGTGTATTTAACTTTTCGGGAAGAGAATGAAGAGAGAAATTTGGTTCTTTGAATTTTTTAGAAAAGAAACAAGGGGGAATTTTTATGGTTTTGATTTGTGGGAAGTGAAAGAAGTGGGAAAGTTTGATTTTTTTTTATTATGAAAGAGAAATAAGGAGGGAAATTTTAAGTTTTCAACTTTTTGTGTAAGGAAGGAAGAAAGAGGGAAATTTGGTTTTTCAATTTTATTAAAGAGAAAGAAGAGGGATAATTGAGTGTTTCTAATTTATGGAAGGAGAAAAGAGGAAGATTTTAGTATTGTAATTTTTTTTTTGTGAAAAGAAAGAAGGAAACAAATTTGATGTTTTCAAATTTTTGGTTTTTCAAAATTTTAGCCTTTGAAATATGAATCTTTAATTTTTATACGGAGGGCATGACTAGTTAAATTTATTATTATATGCTTTGAAGGCTAATATATATAAGTAATTGTTGATGGGCTAATAACTAATTAGTTACAACAATCATTTGTTTTACATATCACTTAATTTGTGTACTTGTTTTCTATGCTTCTACATTTATTACAACTTCAACACTACATGATAGTTATTTTACAACACTTAGTAAAATTTTGGCACATTTAAGTTGTGTTCGTGTTGAACTTTTATTTCAAAATGGGGGTTAAACTTGACATGTTAAGTCATAAGATTGCAATAACTCAATGACGTTGCGGGTTTGAAAATTTTGGTTAATCTAGTTGCGGCCTTGCTGGTCACTTTGGAATGGGAAATGAGAGGGAGGTTTGGGTGGGAACTTTGGAATGAAAAATTTATGGGCAGGTGAATATGAGCCAACAATTATACTAAACTTGATAAGTAATCTTTGAAGGTTCGTTTTTTAGGGTATAAAGTATATGGTTAGGCTATAGGGTATAAGGTACAGATGGTTTAAAGTGTATATGCTTAGGGTATAAGGTATTGATGATTTTGACGGTTCTAAGTTTTTTATTAACATATATTCACTTGAAGTCATTTGAAGCCTTTAACGGCAGGAGATCTCTTTTTAATTTATGTTTATGGTACGTGTTTAGGGTACAGGGTATATGGTGTAGAGTATAAGATATATGGTTAGGGTTTAACAATAAGCAAATATAACTTTTTCATCTATGTTTTGAAAATCAAAGTATGAATTTCACATTTAAATTAACTATACTAGCAAAATCACAACTCATAAGGATATATTCAGGGTATAGGGTATGTGGTTAGTGTATAATTTATTGATGGTTTAGAGTATAGGATCAACAACATACGCTAACTTAATATTTTCGATTAAGGGTAAGGCTAAGTGTATATGCTATATGTTATTGAGTAAGTTATGATTGAAGTCACAACAATTTTACTTAATTTGATAGTTAATCTTTAATGGTTCAATTTAGGATAATTCGAACAAGTTTACAAATAACTTGTTTGGCAACAGTTTTACTAAAGTTAATTGGACAATGAGTTATTTCGAAATAAAACCTTTTATCACTCTGCTTTTGCCAAATACCACGCACCAAATACCAAATTTGCATGGTTATACTAAATGAGATACTCTAATCCAATTACTACTGAAATAATACTAAAATATCAAATAAACAATTAATGGTGTCTTTGGTTGCGAATGTTGATATCACTGTTACTATTAGCTAGTGTACTACACCAATTACGATTAATTACATAACAAGTTTGCAAGTCATACAAAGTGATTCAACATTTTGACTAGTTTTTTAAATTAAGTATATATATACGAGGTATAAAGAAATTGGTAAAAAGTTGAGAAAAATATTTTAAATTAGTGTAATAGAATGTGTAAGTTGGTAACGAGTAATGAGTAAGCTACTCGATGCGCTGACCCGAACAACCCATAACCCGATCCGCCCATAACCCGCTCGACCCAAAACCCGAAGAGCCCAAACCCAATGAATCCCCAACCCGTTTGAACCCGAACCCGACTAACCCACAACCCGTTTGAACCATAATCCAATTAAACCTCGCCCGAATCATCCGATTGACACCTATACATGCAACACAGACAAATAGTGATTAATTATCAGAAGTTATATTATTTTTTGTTTGTACCTAAATATTGCATCCGATTCACTCACGAGAGTTCACCATGTACGTACTGTGGGGGCTGGCCGGCAGCTGGCGGCTCTCATCGACCGATCGATCATTTCCTGCTTTTGGTTCTGACCTTGTTTGTCTGTGACAGGGAAGAACTATTTATTTTATTTTTATACCATAGGGGAAAGTGAAGAATTCCACACACAGCAGCATTATTTCATCCCCCACCACACAAACAATAAGGAGCGGGGAAAAAAGAAAACATCGCTAGCTAGCTTCACGACGAAACTGGAATTATTTTCCGATCGCCCCGTGACTCTCTCAAGCTTGTACGACCAGCTACTAGATGGAGATATTTGGAGAAAATATAAGGGAGTTGTTATTTACCGTCAAGTATTTTACTGTTTGTCGCCAACTTTAGAATTTCATTCGTAGATAAATTTTATTAGAATAGGGTTATTATCCATAAGAGATTATTCGAGTGGTATTATTATCATGTTTCTTTAGATTTTCGATTGGAATCTATTAAGTAGTACAACAATATAAAAATAAATCTATATCAACTTTATATTAAAAAAAAAAAAGTTGGGCAATATCTATTTTTTATTCAAATATTTTTTCAGATTCTCTTATATTATCCAAACCTATTAAAATTCTATTAATCAGCCAAATCTTTCATAATGTATCAAAATATTAGTCATTTTTACGTTTGTTGGGGGGAACGAGCATGGGCCAGCCCAGAAAGGAAAAGCCCAAAATAAGTTATTATGGACCGGGGGCACGGGCCCAACCAAAGGGACAGAGAAAGCCCATGAGGGCAGGAATACTGGGCCGAAGGGCGCCCAGACTTGAGCCTGGGCGGCTGAAGACAGCATGAGAGACAGGTGGGACCAGGCCCCTGGCGAAGGGCGTGTGAGACAAAAGCGAACAACGGTCGGAAGTGTACGAAAAGCTGAAGAGATGATGTCATGCGCCTTCGATCTCTGACCAACGTGCCAGATGGTCGAGGCGCATGAGCCAGGGGTGTACGATGCATTTATGGCGGGTCTGACACAGGGCGAGAGCGACGTGTACCGGTCGATCTCGCCTCAGGTATAAATAGTCGAGTAGGTGAACCTCATTTACTCAGTTTTGCTTCTCTGACTAGAACTTTTCCCACACTTCTCTCTCTAAAGAGTAGGTTCTTACTTGAGCGTCGGAGTGCTAACGGGCCAATTCGGTCCGCTAGGTGCTTGTGTGGGTGCAGGAGAGTTGATGCTCTAAAACACAACACCTAACAATGTCCAAGTGTAACCAATGAAAGGGACTGCAGTATAGTGGCACAAGTAATAAATATCGAATCCACGGGTCTCTAGAGTTACTATTACTCAGCTTCAGTTCATTATCTAGCAAACTAGATTAAGGATTGATTAACTAAACTACTCTACTAACTAAACTAAGTAAAACTACTAATTACAGTTTGGGAACTCACTTAGGTATGATTCCCCCTAGCTCCTCAATTAGGTCCAAGTTGTAATTCATTTTGGTTGATTTACTGTTGATTAAACTGCGGAAGATCCGACAGTAGCTTGGAATCTCTTAAGCTGACCAAGCCCTCTCAGTCTAACTATCCGGCAGACGACTAGTCTTCACCGGGATAGAAAGCTGAAGCAATAAGCACAGAACTCCACTACTGGAATTGGATTCCAGTACAAAGCAGTAAACTGGCTAACTCTCGTATAGCCAATCTCCTACTACCGAATGATGAGACTCTAGCAACCTAATCAGATTCTATCCATCTCAGATTGCAGCAGGAATCAGGAAAAGTTGATCAGACTTCAATTGACTCAATAAACATGCATCATTCGATTATAATCAAACAATATAGCATCCAAAACTTCATACAAGAAAGATCCTAACTCATGGAACTAAGGTTCCTCAAAACCTAAGTGAAGGGAAGTTACTCCATAGAGAAGAGAGAGACTGCAGAAATCTGGTCTAGATCTTCAATCTCCATCTCCAAGCTTGATTCCCGAGCTCCAATGGCGAAGAAATCCTCCAAAATAGCTCCAAGAATGTTCCCAAGTCGCTCTCTCTCTCTAGGGTTCGTCCCTTGGGTGTTTGGGATCCAAAACCCAGCTCTCCCTCCTCTTTGGTTCGGAATTTGGCTTAAAACCAGGAAATCCCGACTCGCACGGCCAGGGTGCACGGCCGTGCATATCACCATTCTGGCCGTGCAACTCAAAACGCAGCGTGTCATTTAGTCGAACTTCAGCCCTCTCGCACGGCCAGGGTGCACGGCCGTGCGAGCTTCAGGGGTTGCCCGTGCGTGTCCTCGGCATAAGGCGCACGGCCATATTGCTCACGTGCACGGCCGTGCAGCCTCCCTGGTCTGCCCGTGCAGCTCCCCAAAAACCTCGCAATTCGTCCGTTCTTCGTCCAATCGACCCCAGACTCGCTCCTAAGCCTTCATTCACGTACTAGGACCTGAAACATCACAAAAAAGCACAACCTAGCGTGAAATCGGCCTAAAACACGAGAATCAACACCTCAAACGGTGTAAGAATGGGGGTAAAAACATGTGTAAATGACGGTCTATCAAACTCCCCCACACTTAACCGTTTGCTTGTCCCCAAGCAAACCTAACTCAAACCAATGCAACTCTCCATACCTCTATAGCAACAAACAACCCAGATCGTAGGTAGAGGACTTCCTAGATCATTTAGCAACTTACGAGGTCAACCGACGCACAAGTCATCTCATAACTTCTTCGGCGAGTCGGCATCACGGCAAATAGTGAACAGAGGACAAATGAATTGTGGATGAAGAGATTCTCAAAAACAAAGGATCATGGACTCACATTTTTCAAGGTGCTCTATTTTCTTCTTGAAGATGGTTGGAACCCCTTTTCTTTCTGTTTTGCTTGTTTTCTGTTATTTTTTTCTTTTTTTTTTTCCAAGGGTCCCAACCTGCTCTTACCGGCCATGCCAGGAGCGGATGTCTCGAGCCTCGTGCGGGGGAAAGACATGTAAGGGGGCTGGAGGTAGTAGGTGAAAATTGGGAACGAATCCCCGTCTCCCCTTACACACTTTCGCCCTATTCGCAAGGGAGACGTTATTTTGAAGCACATTTTCGAGCACCTGTTAAACTCAAAACATGATACAAGAGTCCATGACAGGCAGAGAATCCACAACACCACACAATTCAAGGGTCCTAAGATCACTAATTCACTCAATCAACCAACACAATATGAAGAAGAAACGAGACTTCTTAAATGCATCAACATCCTCCATAGTGCTACACTACCTCCCTAGGTTGCATATTACTATAAAGACTGTCAATTCAAAGCATACTGAGCAGGCAATTGCAAGGAAACACGTACTTGGAGCCCTCAAATTTAAAAATTTGGACAGTGGACTAGGCTCCAAGCACACAAACAGCCAAACATTCACCCGCATACATAATCGAACACCCCCCCCCCCACACTTAAGCACGACATTGTCCTCAATGGAGGAAAGATAAAGAGGGTAGAACGAAGTTACCAGATCAAGGTGAATGATGATGTACGGGTCAGGCAGTGCATTCCAGGAAGAGAGAGTAATCAGAACACAAACACCACACAAAATCTCACAAAGGTTGAGTTATTGACTCTAAAATCAAATAACAAAACTGACTCAACCGAGGATAAAAAGAGAAAGAAATGCAAACCGACTGGTTGGGTTGCCTCCCAACAAGTGCTTCTTTCACGTCGTGAGCCGGACGATGGCTTCTAAGTTTCGGTCCATGCTAGAACCTCCTTGAAGTTGTGGTTCTCGTCGATGAGGTGGAGTCTCAAGTCACGAGCATGTGGTGTGGCAGGTGATGAAGGCTCATGTACTTGATGCAGATGAAGTCTCCACCCTCGAGACCTCTTTTTCTCTTCTCTCGTCTCATTGCCCCAAACCAGATATGACATCATCGATTGGCCACCATCGCGTCCACCAAGAGGGACCGATGTCGATGTGGCCTTGGTCTGGCAAAGAGACACTGCAAATGGGTCCTTGCTAAGTAGTTCCTCGAAGTTTGGTGGAGATATCAAATGTAACTCATGGCCGGTGCAGGCCTCTTCCACCTCAACTCCGTCCTCAGCCTGGACGCCAATTGCTTTTTCAACCCCCCTTTCTTCTTCATGTGGTATCACCCCTGAGAAAAGATCAAGAACTCCTTCTGCTTCACTTTTGTCATCCTCCACAACTTCTTTCTGCACCCTTTCTTGCTCTTCTTCTTCCAGCACGAATTGGAGAGCAAGTCTCCATGCAAGGTTCTCGATAAGTTCAGCTTGCATCTCCTCACTCGAGCCCAGCATGTCAGAGCGGAAATGGTGAAAGTTATGATCTACCACCAAAGGATACACTTGATCATGATTATCATGGGAGCTTTCTGTGACAACTTCTGTATGCTCCTCAACATCCTCATGATTGCCTTTTTCTTCCTCCTCCTCTACTTGTATGGCAGCATAAAGGTTGTCTTGAGAAAACTGTGAACAAGCTTTCTCAATGACCTCTATGTGCTTCTTTATGCTCCGGATGGTATCCTCTGTTTCACGGGGGAAGGAAAAGTCAGTTTGGGCAATGGCCTGGATATGAGGATCCATCTCGGGAAAAGATCTCTCAGGTACTCGAGCAATCTGCTCCACGAGAAGCCTCAATTCATAGTTTGGATCTGGCTGTGGAGTGTAGCATGGCTCTGCAGAATGGCCCGTGAAGGCCGCCATGGGTAACTCCAGATCCGATGGCCCTTCTTGTTGTGGGAGGAATTCTTCTTGATAAGGAGATTGTTCTTGATATGCCCAGGGGTCTGGTTGTTCTCCGTAGAAAGGGGGTTGGTACTGGAACCCGAATCCATAGTCTTCTCCTCCTTGATTGCTCCAGGGAGTCTCGGGGTAATACCACTCGGATGGTGGTGGATACCCCCACTGGTTGGAGAAGCCATGCGGATCCATGATTCAGATCTGCACCAACAAAAACAAAAAACACCCAAGTGAAAAGCAAGGGTGGAAAAGAAAAGAAAAACGCTAAAGTAACAAACTTCTGCCTTTCCTAATACTCTAGAAAGTCCCCGGCAACGGCGCCAAAAACTTGATGCTCTAAAACACAACACCTAACAATGTCCAAGTGTAACCAATGAAAGGGACTGCAGTATAGTGGCACAAGTAATAAATATCGAATCCACGGGTCTCTAGAGTTACTATTACTCAGCTTCAGTTCATTATCTAGCAAACTAGATTAAGGATTGATTAACTAAACTACTCTACTAACTAAACTAAGTAAAACTACTAATTACAGTTTGGGAACTCACTTAGGTATGATTCCCCCTAGCTCCTCAATTAGGTCCAAGTTGTAATTCATTTTGGTTGATTTACTGTTGATTAAACTGCGGAAGATCCGACAGTAGCTTGGAATCTCTTAAGCTGACCAAGCCCTCTCAGTCTAACTATCCGGCAGACGACTAGTCTTCACCGGGATAGAAAGCTGAAGCAATAAGCACAGAACTCCACTACTGGAATTGGATTCCAGTACAAAGCAGTAAACTGGCTAACTCTCGTATAGCCAATCTCCTACTACCGAATGATGAGACTCTAGCAACCTAATCAGATTCTATCCATCTCAGATTGCAGCAGGAATCAGGAAAAGTTGATCAGACTTCAATTGACTCAATAAACATGCATCATTCGATTATAATCAAACAATATAGCATCCAAAACTTCATACAAGAAAGATCCTAACTCATGGAACTAAGGTTCCTCAAAACCTAAGTGAAGGGAAGTTACTCCATAGAGAAGAGAGAGACTGCAGAAATCTGATCTAGATCTTCAATCTCCATCTCCAAGCTTGATTCCCGAGCTCCAATGGCAAAGAAATCCTCCAAAATAGCTCCAAGAATGTTCCCAAGTCGCTCTCTCTCTAGGGTTCGTCCCTTGGGTGTTTGGGATCCAAAACCCAGCTCTCCCTCCTCTTTGGTTCGGAATTTGGCTTAAAACCAGGAAATCCCGACTCGCACGGCCAGGGTGCACGGCCGTGCATATCACCATTCTGGCCGTGCAACTCAAAATGCAGCGTGTCATTTAGTCGAACTTCAGCCCTCTCGCACGGCCAGGGTGCACGGCCGTGCGAGCTTCAGGGGTTGCCCGTGCGTGTCCTCGGCATAAGGCGCACGGCCATATTGCTCACGTGCACGGCCGTGCAGCCTCCCTGGTCTGCCCGTGCAGCTCCCCAAAAACCTCGCCATTCGTCCGTTCTTCGTCCAATCGACCCCAGACTCGCTCCTAAGCCTTCATTCACGTACTAGGACCTGAAACATCACAAACAAGCACAACCTAGCGTGAAATCGGCCTAAAACACGAGAATCAACACCTCAAACGGTGTAAGAATGGGGGTAAAAACATGTGTAAATGACGGTCTATCAAGAGTCAAGGCGCAAGAGGGCAGGTAAGGTAGGAGAGCTAGGCGCACGAAGGAGGTTCCCAGGCATCAACAATTGGCGCGCCAGGAAGGGGCGTAACAACCAAGGGGTATGGAGATTGGAGGGTTAGGAGAGGATGGAGGAGCTGAGCCTCAAGATCAGGGGACGGAGATGACGAAAGAGGCGGAGGAGCATGATGGGAAAGGGAGTCCGAGGAAGGACGGGAACGCACAGGCAGAGGGCGCCCCGCTCACAAAAGAGGAGTTACTTCAGATCATCGAGAGCCAAGATCACGCGCTCGAGATCTTGAAAAAGGAGGTTGAGGCGCTCAAGAGGAATGGAGGCGACCCGAACACGCCTGGCGCGAAGAGAAAGGAGCGAGACGAAGAAGGGGAGGGGGCGTCCAGCCTAATGAGGCGCACTGAAGAGATGGGGCACCTGACCAGACACTTGGAATCAGATTATGACGAATACAACGGATGGGCGCAGAGACGTGCATGAAGAGGTTGGGGAATTCGACAGCCCTTGGCCAGGAGCGTTCTCGCTAAGGCACCGAGCTCGGTCATACCGGCATTACCAAGTTATGATGGGACGACCGATCCAGAAGACCACTTGAACAATTATTTCACGAAGATGCAGCTGTATAGCAGCTCGGACGCCACGATGTGTCGGGCGTTCCCCTCCACGTTTACAGGGGTGGTGTTGGACTGGTACCACCAACTAGAGGAGGGACGGATCGATTGTTTTGAACACTTCGCTTCCTTGTTCCTGTCGAAGTTCGCTAGTCGGAAGCGCAGGACCCTTACGATAAGCGCCTTGTTCAAGGTACGTCAAAGGGAAAACGAGTCGCTTCGTGATTTTTATGAACGATGGATGTCGGTAGCCATGGCGGTAAAGGATGTCAAGCCTCCCGTCTTGGGGTGTTGCCTGGATGAGTGTACGACTAGTGAAGAGTTGTGCCGGGCGCTTTCCAAGAGGGACGTGACGTCCACTGAGGACCTCGATAGAAGAGTGGAGAAGGTCATTATGTTGGAGGAGACGCTTGCAGCTCGAAGATTTGACAGGCGCAAAAACAAGGCGGAGGAAGGAGAGGGCTACCGACTGCCGGCGCCCCGCCTGCCAATGGCGGCGCCCAGTATGCCGTTCCAAGGGCGCAGGATGGAGACTCAGAGGCCTGTGCCGAAGAGTGCGGGGAGTTTCACCGAGCTAAACGACATGTTGAAAAACGTGTTGCAATATGCGAAGGATAAGGGTTACCACCTGAGGTGGCCTGGCCCCATGAGGGGGCGCCCGAATGAGCAGAATTTAGACAGATACTGCGAGTTCCACAGGGAGCGGGGGCACCACACCGTGGATTGTTATCAGCTGAAGTCCGAGATACAGGGACTGGTGGATAGGGGCATGCTGAACGACTTTGTGAAAAAGGATGACCGAGCGCAAAGGACGTTCGTTGCGCGAGAGGCACAAGTAAAGGCGCCTGACGAGAAGCCGGAGGCGGAGAAGGACCCTCCCAAGGGAGGGGCTACCCTACCCCCGCCCCCATTCAACGTAGAACAAGAGGGGAACCCAAGCCGTGTGAGGTTGACCATTGAGACCATCACTGGCTCCATAGACTTGAGGCAGAAGTTGGAGGAAGGAAGGCGCCTGAAGTCCGCTACCGCGAGCGCGCGTAAGGCCATTCAAATACATTTCAATGAGGTGCCTGAAGAGGCATGCCGAACGCCTTCCACGGAGGCGCTGGAAATCCGGGGCGTAGTGGCAGGTTGCGAGGTTAAAAGGATGTTGGTCGACACTGGAAGTTCCATGAACGTGTTGTTTCTTTCCACGTTTGAGAAAATGCAATTGGCACCCAGCATGGTGACGCCGGCGGACACAATGCTAATTGGGTTCTCTGGGGCGCCTGCCCAGGTTATCGGGCGCGTGCGGCTTCCCGTAACCTTGGGTGATGAGACGCTCTGTGTCACGCACACGGTGGACTTTGGCATAGTCGACTGCCCATCGCCATACAATGCAATCTTGGGGCGTCCCTTGCTGGCACTCTTCAACGGCGTTGCCTCCTCCTGCCACCAAGTCCTAAAATTTGTCACCCTGGAGGGCATCGGGATATCAAGGGGCGAGGCCTCTGCGGAAGCACGCCTCTCCAAAAGAAGCCGGATGTACAACATTGACACGAGGCCCGAGGACTTGCCAAGGGCCGAAGCAGCGGATGAAGAGATACATGTGCCTTTGGATGACCTACGTCCTGACAGATGCGTTCGTGTTTCAACACACACGACGGGAGAAGAATTGGGTCCGTTAGTTGGTCTTTTGAGGGAATTTGCATATTTGTTCGCATGGAGCGCGAAGGAGATGCCTGGTGTGAGAGCAGAAGTTGCGGAGCATCGGCTTGCCATAGCAAAAGGCGTGCGCCCCATTCAGCAGAAAAGGCGCCCGATCTCGCTGGAGAAGGAGGAAGCGCTGAGAAAGGAAGTAGGGAAGTTGCGAGAAGCAGGGTTTGTGGAAGAAGCTAAGTACATCACTTGGCTGTCCAATGTAGTGCTGGTGCCCAAGGCGTCGGGGGAATGGAGGATGTGCGTAGATTATACCAGCCTAAACCGAGTGTGCCCCTCGGACGCATACCCCATGCCCAGAATTGATCAGTTAGTGGATGCGACAGCATACCACGAGGCGCTCAGTTTCCTGGATATGTTCTCAGGCTACCATCAAATACCCATGTGTGAAGAGGACAGGGACAAGACGGCATTCATGACTCCGTTTGGCAACTTCCGCTATAGGGTGATGTCCTTTGGGCTGAGGAATGCCGGGGCCACATACCAGCGCATGGTGAACAAATTTTTCAGCATCAGATTGGGCGAAATGTGGAGGCGTACGTGGACGACTTAGTGGTGAAGAGCAAGCGAAGAGGGGATCACTTGGAAGACTTGCAGGAGACGTTTCAAGCGCTCCGCGCCCATGACCTGCGCCTCAATCCCCTGAAGTGCGTGTTTGGGGCGGAAGCAGGAAAATTCTTGGGATTCATGATCACCAAGCGTGGCATCGAAGCCAACCCCAGGCAAGTGGAGGCAATAAGGCGCCTTCACCCCCCCCCCCCCCCCCCCCCGCACACCGAACGAGGTGCAAAGTCTGAACGGACGACTAGCCGCCTTGGGGCGCTTCATACCTCGCTCAGCGGATAAGGGCGCCCCTTTCTTTCGAGTACTAAGGAAGGCCGCCCGGTTCAAGTGGACGGAAGAGTGCGACGAGGCGTTCGAGCAGCTAAAGACCCTTCTAATGGCCCCTACTGTGATGACAGCCCCGAAGAGGGGCGAAATGCTTTACTTGTATATTGCGGTGTCAAAAATGGCGGTCAGTGCGGTGCTTGTCTCCAAGGATGTGGAAAGTGGGGAGGATAGGCTGGTGTACTACGTGAGCAAGGTGATGGCGGGGGCCGAGACCCGTTATGCGCCCATTGAGAAAGCCGGTCTAGCCGTGGTCACTGCGGCGGAAAAGCTGCGGCCCTACTTCCAAGCTCACCCCGTGACGATCCTAACGAATTTGCCGCTGAGGAGCACACTGGGGTCCATGGATGTGGCCGGGCGCATGGTTAAGTGGGCAGTACAACTGAGCGAGTACAATATAAGCTATGCGCCCCGCCCGGCGATAAAGGCGCAAGTGTTGGCTGAGTTTGTGGCCGAGGGGGTGATAAGTGCGGGAAACGGGGTGGAAGAAGCCTGGCAGGTCTATGTGGACGGCGCAGCAAGCAAGTCAGGCGCCGGGGCTGGAGTGGTAGTCGTGAGCCCCTTGGGGGCGACGCATGAGTTGGCCCTCCGTTTCGCAACCCTGAAGACCAATAACGCGGCGGAATACGAAGCGGTGATTGCCGGGCTCCACACAGCTCGGGAGCTCGGCGCCCAAAAGGTTCAGCTCCGCTCGGACTCGGCGTTGGTGGTAAATCAGCTGAACGGCGTATACGAAGTTAAGGAGGAGGCCCTGAGTACCTACGTTACCATGGTGAAGGCAAAAGGGGCGTGGTTTAAGGAGGTGGAATTCATACATGTACCAAGGGAGGAGAACGCCCACGCGGACGCTCTATCCAAGCTTGCCACGGCGACCGAATTCGAGGAGGATTGGCAAGTCATCGTCACCAAAGAGCATTCAGTGCGTGAATCCGTTATAGGAGCAATCACCGAGTCCGAAGAGAGTGAGAGCTGGATGTCACCTATCAGGGCATACTTAGTGCAAGGGGTCCTTCCGGAAAACGACAGGGACGCATGGCAGGTACGGCGCAAGGCCGCGCGTTGCACGCTAATTGATGGCCAGATGTACAAGCGGTCACACTCCGGTGTCTACCTATGATGCCTCACTGAGGTAGAAGGGAAGCTGGCAATTGAAGAAGTCCATCAGGGGGCGTGCGGCATGCATGCAGGAGTGCGCAGTCTCGAGAAGGTACTGTTGAGACAAGGGTATTACTGGCCAACCATCAGGGCGGATGCAACAAAACACGTGGCTAGCTGCCATCAATGCCAGATACATGCCAATGACATCCACGTTCCCGCAGCGCCTATGAGTGGAAATGTGGGCGCATGGCCGTTCTCCCAATGGGGCATGGACTTGTTAGGACCGTTCCCCAAGGCACCCGGGCAGATGAGATACCTGATAGTGGCGGTTGACTACTTCTCCAAATGGATCGAAGCCGAACCTCTGGCATCCATTACCCAGGCGCAGGTCCGTAAGTTCACAAACAGGAACATCTTTACGCGGTTTGGGTTGCCCGAGGTTATAGTGACCGATCATGGGAAGCAATTTGATTGCAAGCAGTTCGTGGACTTCTGTGACGAGAAGGGGGTGATCTTGCGCTTCTCATCCGTGGCTTATCCTCAAGCGAACGGGCAAGCAGAGGCTGCTAACAAAAGCATTCTTCACGGGCTGCATACGAGGCTCCTGGAGGCAAAAGGCAGATGGGTTGAGGAGCTCCCGAGCGTGCTATGGGCGCACAGGACAACATACAAGGTGGCAACAGGAGAATCTCCATTTGCACTCACGTATGGAAGCGAGGCAGTCATCCCGGTGGAGTTGCGCATCCCGACCTTCAGAATGGCAAGCTACGAGGCGCAGGCTAACGAGGGAGAGCGCGTGCACGACCTTGACATGCTAGAAGAACGGCGCGATGTCGCTTCCCTCCGCCTAGAGGCTATGAAGCAGCAAGTGGCAAGGTATTATAATAGGAAGATGCACCCTCACCAAATACGGCAGGGGAGCATGGTGTTGAAAAGGGATTTCAGGCCCAAGGCCAGTGAGGGGAAGTTAGCACCAAAGTGGAAGGGGCCCTACCGGGTTCGCGAGGTGGTGGGACCGGCAACGTTCAAATTGGAGCGCATGAGTGGGAAGAGCATCAAACGCACGTGGAATGCGCAGAACCTACGGGTATATCACAACAAGGAAGGGGAAGAGTTAGTGGGGTAAGGCCGAGTAGCGAGGATGGGTAGAAGGGGGCAGATTTTGCGGAGGAGGCAGCCAGGACGGCCGAGTGTGTGAAGCGCCCCAATCCAGTTGCGCCCGTAATTATCCAAGTAATTATCTAAGTAATTCCAAAAGCGCCCTTCCAATTGCGCCCTAAGTTGTAAGTAGTTTTTGTGGACAAGTACGAAGTTCATGAGTAGTTCTTATCAAAGTAATTCCAAAAGCGCCCTCTTAATTGCGCCCTGTGTTTGCCAAGTGGTACCTACAAAAGCGCCCTTCCTATTGCGCCCTGTGATTTTCTTTCAAGTAATTCCAAAAGCGCCCTCTTAATTGCGCCCTGTGCTTGCTAAGTGGTACCTACAAAAGCGCCCTTCCTATTGCGCCCTATGTTATGAGTAGTTTTTATGAAGTAATTCTCGAAGCGCCCTCTAATTGCGCCCCATAAGTTATTTCTGCTTATGCAAGTGTGAAGCGCCCCCCCTAATGCGCCCAGGCACGCGAGTAGAAATCACTAAACCACGCCCACCTAATGCGCCTTAGGTAGCGTTAGCGGCAAAAGCCGAAGGCAAAGGTAATGCGCCTTGGGAGGAAAAAATGACAGAAAGCCAACTGCTTGTTCATTAACTGAAAGAGGAAAACAAAACACTTGTTCAAAAAAAAAAAAAAAAAAGACTTGTTCATTAACTCGCCCTCACTCGGCGCTGATCTCCTCCTCATCCTCATCCTCCTCCGCCTCCGCGGCCACACCGCCTCTCCCACCATCAGGCGCATCATCACCCTCCGGTGGAGCGTTAGCAGCACCCGAGGCGCCTGCCTGCTGGATTTCCATGGCCTTAACAACATGCTCGATGAGAGCGATACTGTCAAAGGCCAACTCTGGATGGTCAGCCTGGAACTTGGCCTGGAGAATCTCAACAGTGCTAATCACGACGTTGGCTTGGAGATCTTTGCCAGCATCTGATTCGGGAAAGTCAGCTAAGTCCTGGTTCAGGCGCCCCACCTCGGTCTGAGACTTCTTCAGTTCACGCTTATAATGCGCCCGAGACTTCTTGGTCTTCTTATGCGCCTCCTCCAGGTCATCGACAGCCTGTTGCAGCACGATCTTCTCGTTCAGCAACGCGTCCCGCTCCCGAACGAGCGCAGCGCCCCTTTCTCGGAGTTCATGGGTCGTCTTCTCCCATTCGGCCTTGTCCGCCTCGGCCTGGGCCTTGATTTCTCCTTCCAGCTCAGTTCGGGCCTTGAGGCGCTCAGCCGCCAACTTGGCATCCAGGTCAGACTTTGCAGCATCCAAGTCCTTCTGCAGGCGCTCGGCGGAGATGCCTGCGTCTGTGCCCTCTCGCGCTATCGAAGCAATCTCACGTGTGGTGGCCTCGCAGAGGAGCATCATCTGAGGCGCATCAACGAAATATGAGAAGTTAGTTGCACACAAATATTCAAATAGTAAAGAGGCCCTCAATTGGTAAAGGGAAGTATTATGCGCCTCATTACCTGGACGCTCATGTTCGTCAGCTTCGTCCAGGGCTTGTCGGAAATCAGGCCACCCGGATGCTCAATCACGTCATAGTGCGCCTTGGCCATGGCCATGGCCGCCGGTACATCTTTTGCCGCCCGGACGGGCACGTCCACTGGCACCTTGACGAGAGGGCGCCTAGACTGAAGGTATGGAGGAATCACCTCCCCGGTGTGTGGCCCAATGGAGGGCTCCACAAAGCTGCGGGGCAAACCCGGCTCACGCACGGCGGCGGACTTGCCCTTTTTTTCCCGGGCCTTGCAAGGTGACGCCCGCTCTTTTGCGAGAACCAGCAGAGGAAGGCGAGGGAGGCGTGCTCACCCCGCCGGTGTCCCGAGGCGTGGAGAGAGAAGGCGAGGCCGAGGCAGACGAGGCCTGATGATCCGATGCAGGAGAGTCACGAACAGCCGCCTCCCCTTCGGGAGCGGCCGGAGAAGGCGAGGCAGTGCGCCCCCTTGAAGAAGTGCCCTCAGCGGCGGGTCTTTTCACCCTTAGCCGCGTAGGATGCGTCTTGGCCGGACGAGGCGCCTGGGACGCGGGAGCGCCTTGGCCAATGTTGGCGTTGCGGAGGCGGTCGAGCTTTGACTTTATCAGGTTCGTCACCGAGGTGAAGTCAGTCCCTGTACCAAGAAAAGAAACGAGTTAGTCCAAATACATCAAAGGCGCATAGCTGACGAGGAGACGCATAGCCTCTAAGAAGGCGCATAGTCAGTACCGTCGCCGTAGAAGTCGGCGAGAAGATAAGCGTAATCATCCCCGGCATCGAGATCAATGGGGTGGGCCGATATACTCCTCGCCATGTCTAGCTCAGCCTGGCTTAGAGTCTCCACTTTGTTGAATTCAAAGAGGTTCCCCAACGACCACTCCGAACTCACAGGGCGCCCGCTCTCGAAGAACGGCACCTCACGAGGTTTGACGAAGAAAAACGAGTCAAACCACGAGCGCCCCATCTTCCGGCAGCTGCTGATGAACCCGTACCCTAACTTGCGCCTTTGTAAGATCAGACAGTTGGCACTTCTGATCATTTTAAAAAAGTGTTTGAAAAGTCTAAAGGTGGGGGGCACATTGTGTCTTCGACACTGATAGCGGAAGGCAATGGTGGACAAAATAATGGAAGGAGAAAGGCGTGCGAGGGGACACGCACAAGCAACCATGACGCCCTCAAGGACGGGCTCGATGGGGAAGCGTAGGCCAAATCGGATGAATTCTTGATATAAGCCCACCCATCCCTCTCCGCACAACCCGATCCGCGCCTCGGGAGGCGCATGGATGTATCTCCAGGGCGCAGGTAGTTGCGCGCATATGACCAATTTTTCTAGGCGCACCCCTAGTTGTTTTGAGGCGTGATGTGGGCCGGCCTCTTCTAGGGGCAACAGTTAAGTGTTTCGAGGCGCATAGCCGGGAGGCCACATCGAGTCCCAGGGCCGAAACATGTAATCTTGGGACACGGGAGCGCCTGAGTAAGAGGAAGGGGCAAGGTGTAAGGTGACGGAGTGTGTAGGGGGCGCTTTAGCTCTATGCTAAAAAAGGGGGGCGCCTGAATCCTATGATTGGCGGTGAGAAACATGTTGAAGGAATTGAGTGCAAAGGATCCAAGCATAACAAGGAAGGCGCATGAAGAAAGACTTACTCGATGTAGCCGGGGTTGCAGGGGCATTCGTGGCGTCGCGAACAACGGGCGCCTGGGGTTGCGGTGGTGCAGAGGAAGTGGGAGGCGCCTCGGTTGGAGGGGGAGAAGATCCGCGATTTGGGGCAGACGCCTCGGTAGAAGGCGCATTCGTGCTGAGGGGGATTTGACGGGAGGAAGCCATAGCAAGGCGAGGCGCGTGGGGAAGGAAAAGTTGCGAGCGAAGGAGAAGAGGGAAAACTAGAGAGAGGAGGTAGAGAGAGGAAATCTGTGAATTATGTTGAAGGAGAGGGGGAAGAAAGAAATTTATAGGGCGAAGAGGGGCGAGCGAAGGAGAGAGAGGAAGGGGAGGCGAACAGACTTCTCCAATCCACTCCCGATTTTCGAAATTTGAATTTCAAAACGCGAGCGGATTGGAGGGAGGGAAGAGAGTGGAATCGCAAGGGACGCAGGGCACGGAAAAAGAGGCGGAAACCGGGCAAAAAGCATGGATAAATAATAAAGAATAAAAAAATGTATATATATATTTTTATATATATATATATATATATATAAATAAATAAGCAAGGAATAACGAGGAAAGGAACGCGTGCGCACATGGGCACAGGCGGATGGTGGAGCAGGCGCAGGTCCGAGGAGGCGCAGGTCCAAGTAGGGGTGAAGAAAAAGAAGGGACACAGTCAGGCTCCTAACTTGGGGTGTTAGGCGCCTGACTGGGGGGCAATTGTTGGGGGAACGAGCATGGGCCAGCCCAGAAAGGAAAAGCCCATAATGAGTTATTATGGACCGGGGGCACGGGCCCAACCAAAGGGACAGAGAAAGCCCATGAGGGCAGGAATACTGGGCCGAAGGGCGCCCAGACTTGAGCCTGGGCGGCTGAAGACAGCATGAGAGACAGGTGGGACCAGGCCCCTGGCGAAGGGCGTGTGAGACAAAAGCGAACAACGGTCGGAAGTGTACGAAAAGCTGAAGAGATGATGTCATGCACCTTCGATCTCTGACCAACGTGCCAGATGGTCGAGGCGCATGAGCCAGGGGTGTACGATGCATTTATGGCGGGTCTGACACAGGGCGAGAGCGACGTGTACCGGTCGATCTCGCCTCAGGTATAAATAGTCGAGTAGGTGAACCTCATTTACTCAGTTTTGCTTCTCTAACTAGAACTTTTCCCACACTTCTCTCTCTAAAGAGTAGGTTCTTACTTGAGCGTCGGAGTGCTAACGGGCCAATTCGGTCCGCTAGGTGCTTGTGTGGGTGCAGGAGAGTCAAGGCGCAAGAGGGCAGGTAAGGTAGGAGAGCTAGGCGCACGAAGGAGGTTCCCAGGCATCAACAACGTTATCGTTAATAATTTTGTAACTCTTTTCTTAGTTAAAATACTAAAATTTTGGAATGTTGACCTTCGTATGTTTGTACCAAGTCAGTATCATGTTGCCAAGTCAATATTACTAACAAAACTGCTAACTGGAAGTTAACATTCGACTAATTCTTAGTATTTTGATAGGTTTAGATAATATAAAAGGTTCTAAAAATATTTGGATAAAAAATAGACATTGCCCAAAAAAATTCAGAACTTCTAACACATATCCAACTTTGCCAACTTATAGAGATTGACAAAACCGACATTTATAATAAAAAGGACTAAAGTTGTCGTATTTTTCGTCATTTGTCATGCTTCATTAGTCGCCACCAACCGTGAAGACGTATGTTTTGTACCTACCAAGTCCCTCCTGATTCTAGTTCTCTTTCATTTCCTTTATCTCTTTACCAAGGTTGTCAACCCGCGGATCGACCTGCCGGTTGACCTAGACACGGTGAGAAAAACGGGTCGCACACACGCGCCGGGTCAACCCGTTGCAGGTTCCATGGTCGGAGGTCACACGGTGTCATTTTCTCCTTTGGTTTGTGAAATGAGTCTATTTTCTGATTTTCTTCTTTGCCTAATCCATATTTGGAGTTCTATATTGAACAATTGAATATTGAAGTTTTATAAGAGTGTGAATTTTATTATATGTTGGATCCAAATATGTTATGTTATTTTTGTGTAATATTACAAGTTATTACTCATATGTTAGATGACATTTGATATAATTTATCGATGTATGAGCAAGATAATGACTTTTTCATATGTCGTGTTAAACTAGTTAAAGGGATTAGACCATTAACCCTCAACCCATTTGTTCGACCGGTTCAACGGGCTAAACCAGGTTGACAACCTTGGTCTTTACCGTATGCCTAACTTGTGTCATTTTTCAATCACATATATGTATGCTTTATTAATCATCCTTTCAATATCACTCTATTGTGAAATGGATCGAGAATGCAAGAAAGTAAAGAACACACAAATTTATATGGTTCACAAACACAATGTGTGTTAGCTCTAGTCCACAGACATGAGATAGCCAATTTCACTATACTTCAGAATATACAGATTAAATAGCGTTTGAGAAGTGTATATACAATACTTCTCCAGACGGCCTAACCTTAATCCAACCTGGTAAAGAATAGGAGTAAAAACAAAGACCAGAACATAAATCCAAACTGGGCGTTTCACCCCTGGACACTATGACCAGTAGAATGAGCTATTCTAGACCTCGTATTATGATCAAAACGACATAAATTTCATATATTAACATCATAATACCTTGAATTTGCACTATAAATGCTAACAGTGTGTTTTAGCAACCCTAGAATTGCTTAAATATGATTGATACGCTTTTGGTAGCGTTATGTGCATTTTCATATCAAAGCAGACTAGTGGACAATTTGGAAGCAATAGGGGACATCGAGATCCATTTGTTGGGGCCGATTTGAAGAGAGGATGACTTAAAGAAACGATGCCCAGGAAGGAAAATGGCGTTGAATCCGCCATTTTACGGAGCTCAACTACTTCTTCAGAAAGTCACCTTAGAGCCTCCTGATTCACTTGCCATGCATTTGCAGCCTTCTAATTGGATGGATGATGATGGAGCTACGAGAATTTCTCCCTAGAAAGTCTAATTAAAGGCCTATAAATCGATCAGGTAAATAGGAAGAAGAGATGAGAGGTGAATGAATGATCGTTAATTTGCCGACATAACAACCTTCCTTAATTAGAGCGAAATCGACCTTCGAGGGAGGATTGGTGCTAGAATTGGCGGCCTAAGCCTCGCTTTATCTGTTTTCGTTGCTGATTCTTGTGGGATTCTAGAGTCTTTTTTTTCAATCGATGAACATCAAGGAACCCCTCCCCATGGCTGGCTAGTTTCTTAGTTGCTAGTTATGTGAACCCTAGGGGTTCTAATGATGCAAAACTCGATTTTTGGTTTAATACGATTGTGTCTTTTTATGTGTGTTGATGTTTGATTTCCTATATTTTTTATTTTTTTTATTCAAATGAGGGCTTAGTTGACTTTGTACTCCTTCAAGGTGCAAGGATCGAAATCTAAGTCGCATAGGATTATGGCTAGAGATGGCGGCCCTATTCCATCGAACGTCATTTGGCTTAACAACGTGACAACTCAAGGGAGAAATCCAAAGGGTCCTTGTCGCCCATTAGTTTGGGTAAATTACTTGACACAAGGTGAGATCTAACGAAATAAGAAATTTGCAGCTCGTATGGCACCGATCATCGTGGGACGCATAGTTAGGAGACCTAGGACAGCTGGCTATAAAATGCCTTCCTTCTTTGATCTCTGATAGAACATTGATTACACATGTTTTTACCCATATCCTTGAGCCGTTTGAGATGTCGATTCTCGCGTTTTAGGCCGATTTCACGCTAGGTTGTTCTTGTTTGTGATATTTCAGGTCCTAGTACGTGAATGAAGGTTTAGGAACGAGTTCGGGGTCGATTGGACGAAGTTTGGACGTTTGGCGAGAAGCTGAGAAGCCACACGGGCATGCCTAAAAGCCACACGGCCGTGTAGGGGACCCCTGATGGTCGTGTGGAAATTCCAGGGAACTCACACGGGCACCCTGGGAAGCCACACGGCCGTGTGGGTCGTGGTCGTGTAGGAAGCCTGAAGCCACTTATCAAAACGCTGCGGTTTGCACAACTCACACGGGCAGCTGGGGATGTCACACGGCCGTGTGGCCTGGCCGTGTCAGTCAGGATTTTCTGGTTTTAAGCCAATTTTCAGAAGAGGAGAAGGGAGTTCTGAGTTTTAGAGAAAGAAAGCGATTCCTAGAGAGAGAGAGCGACGAACCAGAGTTCCCAAGTGCCCTAGCTTGATCTTCATCACCATTTAAGCTCGTCTTACACTTGGAGAAGTGCCGATTGACGACCAGGAGCAGATTCTCATCCTTCACAGCATGATTTCTGCATCTGAACCTGCTTTTGCTTCTCTCTCCATGGAGTAGACTTCCCATTCATCTGGGTATGGAGAATCCTAGATTTGCGTGTTGGGTCTGATTGTATGAACCCAAGTACAGATTCTATGATTTGATTATATTCAATTGAGGCTTGAATGATTGAATGACTTGAATCCTGATCAAATTCCTGTTATTTCTGCTTTAGCCTAGAAAGAGAATATCTGCCTAGGTTGATAGAGCACCCTTAATTGAAGGTAGTGAATTGGCGACTTTAGTTGAGGAGCCAATTCACTATTTTGTACCGAATTTACTTCAGTAGTGGAGGTTTGGTTCGTTAGGGCCTCAATCTGTTTACTCCGGTGGAGGTTAGTCCCCCGCTGGGGACTCAGATTGAGAGGGTATGGAGACCTTTAGTCGAGACTTCAGACTGCTTAAGAACCTTCCGCAGTATAACTATCATAGAAACTGAACTTGGTAAATTCCAATCCGGCTTAACTGTTGTCTAGGGGGAACCATATCCGGGTGACCTCTCTCGACTTGAAAACAACCGTTTAATTGCTTTGCTTGTTTGAACCTGCACTAAAGTTTCACCGCTAGATAATAAGAATTCACTGAGTAGTCATCACATCTAGGACCCGGGTTGACAATAAAACCCAAACCCGCTATACTACGCTTTAGGAAGTGGTTACACTTGGCCATTTTCTAGAGTGACAGTAGGAGTGAGTCAAGTTTTTGGCGCCGTTGCCGGGGACGGCTAGGTTGTTGAAGAAACGTGAATTCTGTTAATTTAGCTTTTCTTTTCGCATTGTTTGCTTTGTCCCACTTGTGCCTTCACGGGTTTGCTGCTTGACTGTGTGCAGGTAGTGCATGACCCGTAGCCAGCCAGGGGGTTTACTGTCGTTGGATCCGGAGCTTGAACGCACATGTCGCCAACTCAGGAGACAACAACGAGCTAGACTGGCTACGGAGGAGCGCATAGACGGCCATTTGAGCAGCAAGTTCGAGGACGAGTACGAGATGGAAGGAGATCACAATCCACACCAGGGAAATCCTCACCAGGTTCCCCCGGTGAATCAGATCTTGGGGAACAACCCCATACCCCAGGAAGATGGGTTCATCATCATCCACCGCCGCCGGGTCCCACCTTGGAGTACTACTACACTCCACGGATTGCTGACATCCGCCCGGTCATCCTCTACCTGCCTATTCTAGCGAACAACTTCGAGATCAAGCCATGTTGGATTCAACTCATTACATCCTCTATCCAGTTCCATGGCTTGAAGGATGAGGAGTAAAGGGTGCTTCTTTCCCGTTTTCTACAGCTGACGAACGGGTTCAAGCTAAACGGTGTCCCTGATGACGCAATCCGCCTTCACCTCTTCACCCATTCTCTGGCGGGAAATGCTAAGAGGTGGTTGGAGACCCAGCCCCCATTGTCCATCACTTCTTGGGACAATCTGGCTAACAAGTTCGTGCACAGGTACTATCCGGCATCGAAGACCACAGAGATCCAGCGGGAGATCACTCACTTCCGCCAAGAGCCAGACGAGTCACTTCGTGATGCATGGGAGCGGTACATGGGATTTTTCTGGCAGTGTCCCCATCATGGCTTCAGTGATGCATTCACCGTGGGGAACTTCTACACTGCTCTCTCTCCGGACATCCAGAGGGTGATTGTGTCTCTATGCCCAGGAGGGGATATTCTTACTAAGACCCCACCCAAATTGAACCAAATGATCAGTGCCTTGGCTGCCAGAGATCATTCCTGAGGGTAGAGCACCAGAGGCAGAAATTCCCGGGACCGTAGTGTGCACGCCATGGAGGCCAGGTCCGGGCTCGAGCAGCAGGTGGCCGAGTTGGTGCAGACATTGAAGCAGCCCAACAGTCTTATTCCGGGCAGAGGTTTGGCTACACCTCCAGTAGCTCAATTTCAGTGGTGTGAGAGCTCAAATCATCTGGTGGAAGACTGCCAGGCTATAAGGGAGTCAACTACTCCCCAAGAGCAGTTGGACTTCATCGCCAATGCTCGACGCTTTGACCCCCTACAGCAATACATACAATGAGGGGTGGCGTCAGCATCCCAACTTCGCTTAGAATAGCAACACCATTAAGCCACCTGGTTTCCCAGCACCAGCAGGTGGTTTGCAGCAGAGGCAGCCTTTCCAGGCTAGACAGGGGCCAGTCCCTCAGCAGCAGCCTCAGCGTTAGTATGCCGAGCCAGCAGCAACTCCGGCTCCAG